ATAGTGACTTTGTCTATTAGATCTCCATTCACCATTATTTTAGCCGTCTGTTTTGAATTTGTATTGCCTTAATTATTCTAATAAATCTTTCTCCAAATTTCATAATAGCTAATTGTGTAATAACAAACTGCCAATTTAAATTATCAAAAGCTTTTTGCCCGTATACCAATACTAATGCTAATTGTTTTTCTGGATGTGCTTCCTAGTATTCTAATACATTCATTACGATTCTTGTATTATTTCTTAATTGTCTCTTGGGTAAGAATCCGTTTTGATCCGAATGAATAATTTTATTTAATATTTTTTAAGTCTTTCCGCAATGATCGTCATAAATATTTTATAGTCAACATTTAGCAGTGAGATTGACCTATAGTAGCGATGGCGAAACTTTTTTGGCTCATGTGCCAAAAGTGGGGGGAAGTGACTTGCGGTTTGCTCATAGGGTCATTTTTCATCCTCCGGATCCTTCAGGGATGCCTCCAGAGGGCTTAAACCGGCTCTACGAGCAAACCGGAACAACTTCCGGTTGCTCATAGGACCATTTTTTAATGCTCTGGAGGCTTCAGGGCAGCTCCTGAAGCCTCCGGAGGGCCTCCAGGGGGGCAAGAGAGACTGTTTTCGCCCTCCCCAGGCTTCTATAAAGCCTCTGGAGCCAGGGAGGGAGAAAAATGGCCTCAAAAAAAGGCTAAAATCAACTGGCCAGCGCACGCATGTGTGCTGGCCAGCTAACAGGGCAATGTCTCACATGTCCTAAGAAACGGCTCCGTGTGCAACCTGCGCCTATAGTTTTGTATCAATTGATCGTCCGTTTCTTCTTTCGGAATTAATGTTATAAATGCCTCAGTCCATGAACATGGCATTTTTGCTTGTTCTAATACTTCATTGTACAATTCTAACATGATTTCCTCAAAGGTTTCTTGAAATTTTTTATCCGCTGAGGGTTTCTTGCGTAGTTCTTGAGTGTCAGTATTATTTCCAGGATTCTGCCTATCTTGAAAGCAGCCAGATCATTCCTTGTAGGACTATCAGTTGGCTTAGTGCGTCTTCCATATGTCTTTCTCACACTCTTCCACTCCCTCTTAGGTCTCTTTCTTTATTTCTCTCTCTCTTTCTTTCTTTTCTTCCCCCCTCTCTTTCTCTCCTCTCCTCTCCTCTCTTTTGTTTCCTGTGGAAATCAGATGAGTTTTATCAGGGATGAGAGCAATGCAAATGAAAACAGACTTGGGATTTGTTACCATGGCAAGCAGAAAAATTTATCAGTGGGAGAAGGGATGCGTGGGGTAGCTCAAGGAAAGTGGGAAAAGTGCCTTCCTTGTAACCTCAACCGGATGTCCTCCAGCTCTGCACTCTCCTTAAAGGATGAGCCTATTTCTGAACTGTCCCATCACAAGGCAGAGAATTTCAATGCACTAAAAACTATAGGTCTCTAAACTTAGCAACTTTTAAAATTGTGCTAATGTGCTATGTATAATTCTGGGAGTTGAAGTCCACAGGTCTTAAAGTCTTAACATTACAAAGTTTGGAGAGCCCTGCACTCTGCAAATAGTGATTGTGTAGCAAGGAAGAAATGCTGTAAAGGAAAACAGCAGAGAAATATTGTATTACTAGTCTCAGTGTGCTCCTAATCTGTAGTGTGAACCTGATTCTGAAGCCCCAGGAACACTAGCAACCTGAGTAGGTTTTGCATCAAAAACCAGTAACACTTTTCTTCTGCCTAGTGAAATCTTGCACATGAATGCCTCTCAACTCCATCTTGCCAACTCACAAACTTAAATTTACAACCAAGGGGAGAGTAAGAGAAATTGATGGGGTCATTGGTGCTAGCTTGTCAGTGCTCAATCCTGTCCAGACAGATTTATTTATCTTCTAAGGAAGTGGTGTCAATCCTGGCAATTCCAAGTCTTCTGGACTTGAAGTCCACACGACTTAGAATTGCCAAAGTTGAGAAACACTAAGTTAAGGCATTAAATAAATAATATTACAAAAATGCAATAATGATCTTCAAAGATGTTGTTCACTTTCCCTCTATTCAACCCTCCAAATTATCAAACCTGGCCAAATGTTGTGGAAGATTTTCATAAAATACTTGAGCAGTCAGCAAATGCTTTCTACTCTTACAAGATAGATCTCATTTTTGTGAGCTCATCTGCAAGTGTGTTGATCCTCACCTTGTCTGATCCACTCACTGTTTTTGAAGTTGGATGAAAACGCCAACTTTCATTAATGAGATTAGGAACCGAAGAATAACTACTTGAGATAAAAACGGTGGATCTCCAGGGGCTTGACTAAGACGGCAACCACGATGATATGAGGGTTCCATCCTTTCGAGGTGGGTGAGCACCTGAATTTTTTTTAGCCATAATTGCCATCAGAGCAGATGTTGGGAGGGGGGCAAGGAGGAAAAGGGTCCCGAGGTGGCTGCAGTGGTTAAATGCAGCACTGCAGGCTACTTCAGCTGACTGCAGTTCTGCAGTTCGGCTGTTCAAATCTCACCAGCTCAAGGTTGACTCAGCCTTCCATCCTTCCGAGGTGGGTAAAATGAGGACCCGGATTTTGGGGGCAATATGCTGACTCTGTAAACCGCTTAGAGAGGGCTGAAAGCCCCATGAAGCGGTATATAAGTCTAACTGCTACTGCTATTGCTATGATATGATTAAAGCTCTACCCTTTTTTTGCTGCTGCATGCTCATCAACAAGCTACATCTAATCCTTGACATATGACCACAACTGAGCCCAAAATTTCCATGGCAAAGCAAGGCAGTTGTTAAGTGCCTCCTTTTACAACCTTTTCCCAGAGTTGTTATGTGAATCACTGCAGTTAAGTGAACAGTGAAGTTATTAAGCAAATCTGGCTTCCCCCATTGACTTTGCTCGTCAAAAGCCAGCTGGGAAGGTTGCAAACAGTGATCACATGATCCCGGGATACTGCAACCCACATGAATATATTCCAGTTGCCAAGTGCCCAAAGTTTGATAATGACTCTGGGGATGCTGTAATGGCCATAAATGTGTTTACAAGTCACTTTTTTCAGTGCTGTTGTAACTTTGAAGGTCACTAAATGAATGGTAGTAAGTCGAGGATTATCTGTATTTTAAAAAATGATAAAGGAGACAAGGATCACCTAAGGAAAGAGAGCTATGAACCAAGTCTTCAAGATCAAATACAACTTCTCCATTTTGTTTTTCAGCAATAGCTGTCAGAGGAGATGCAAAGAAGAAACTGAAAAACTGGGACAGTATGCCATATTCTGTGGTTTAGCAAGTTGTGTGAATGAACCTCCCCGTTAAAAATGTTATTCCTTGATACCTTTCTTATACATTGCTTGTACAATACTGTAACTAATGAAGGAGAAATTGTTTATGCTTCCAGGAATCAAAGGCCATTTCCTTGCTCTCGTGTGCTTTCAGATCAAATCAAAACTTATATTACAGATTAGTCTAAATAAGATTCATTAAGTCAAATCTACAAAATATAATACATAAAATGGAACAATTGCTGCACTACTTGGCTATTTTCAAGGTGCCAGTTTTACAAGCTGAGAAAAGAAACTTTGCAATTGTGTGAATTCCCTTAAGATCCTAAAAACTCATTTGATCGATGGCCTTAATCAAATTTCTATCTGTCTTAAATATTGAATAAAGCAGATCGATGTTGGGAATCGCCATTGATAAAGTTAGTAGGGATGATTATTTTGTTGTAAATCTTACTAGCAAAACTAGAAGCGTCTGGGTGGGTGGGCGGAGCCTCCCGCCCCCACCACTACCAGTTCGCCCAATCCGGAGCGAACAGGCAGAAACCCACCTCTGATTCATAGGTACAGATTTCAATTTAGTTATTCATTACTTAACTCGGGTTTGGAGCTGCTACACTTCCTGGGACAACCTGAAAAACAAAATACAAATACAGTAATCGAGATAAAAATAAACATTAAGAAAATACAAATAGTCAGATAAATATAAACACAAAAAGAAAATATATAGTACACTAAGTAAAAATAAACATAAAAATACAGTAAGATAAACATAAAAATACAAATACAGTAACATAAATAAAAATACCAGAATGGCAATGCAGGTAGTCCTCATAACAGTTCATTTAGTCACCGTTTGAAATTATAGCAGCCCTGGAAAAAAGTGACTTGACTGTTTTTCACACTTAGGACAGTTGCAGCATCCCCATGGTCATGTGGTCAAAATTCAGACTATTGTCAACTGGCTCGAATTTATGATGGTCATAGTGTCCTGGGGTCATGTGATCCCCTTTTGTGACTTCTGACAAAGTCAATGGGAGAGCCAGATTCACTTAACAACCGTTTTGTTTAGCAATAGAACTTTTGGGCTGAATTGTGGTCGTATGTTGAGGACTACCTATACAGTACTAAATGGCCATCCAACTCTCCTCACATCTGTCAACCACCTCTAAAGGGGGGTGGGGGTGCCCCCCTTTAAGTGGCTTGTCTTTCTTCCTTACAGCCCCCCCCCCTTCACTGCACGTGGCTTTTGTGGAGTTTTCCTTGAAGTTCTATTTGAATTCCTTCATTCGGATTGGGGTCGGACCCCGTCCCATGTCAAGTTGGGCGTTCGCTTTGCCTTTCCCCCCCGGCGACCTTTCCCGGAAAATTATCGTATCCTTCGGAACTCCCTGCCACTTGAAACGCCACCGGCCCTGCTGCTCCAGGCAGAGACGCGGACAGTGCCGGCGAAGGCGCAACGCACCAGGCCGGCACGGCAGGAGGCCATCCATTGTCCGCCACTCCCCCACCCCCTCGGCCAGGCCGGCTCGGAGGCAGCCGCGGGGCACCGGCGCTGCCCCGACAGAGGGCGGGCGAGGCCGAGGGAGGCGCCCGTCGGGCTGCCACAGCCGCGCCTTCCCGGGAAGGTAGAGGGGGCGGAGACCCGCCCACCCACCTCCGCATTGGCCAGCCCTACCTGCCGATCACGCGGCCCCGCCTTTGGCCGGGAGTAATCCCCCTCCCCCCCCTGCCGCCGCTCCTGGGCGCCGGGAGAGCCGGGAGGCGGCGGGCTACTTCCTTCCCGGCGCGGCATATGCAGTCCCGGCAGAGCGTGGGCAGCGGCGGTGAGTGGCTACAGCGGTGAATTCCGCTGCCTTCGCCCCCTCCCTTCCCCGCCGCCCCTCCTTCGCAAGGCGCGGGTCTGGCCTCCCGGTCGCCCCTCCCGCCTTTTGTGTGGTCTCCCGGGGGCTCCGCGGGGGGGAGGGAGGGAAGCGCAGTTGGGACGGGGGCAGAATTGCTTGCGACCCTCACGGCTCTTCCCCGCTTTCTCCCGCCCGGCCGCTGCCCAGTTTTCCTGTAGGCCAGACACGTTGCCGGTGCAGCTGCGGGCGTCGGTGCTGCCCCTCCCCCCGGCAGCGCTGAGCTCCGGGAAGCCCCCTGATTTGTGGGGAGGGGCAGGCTGGTCTGCAGGAGGCTTCCCCCAGGCGCTTGAATGAGGGGTCGGGCTGCAGGTGCATGCAGCTTTACTGGAGGAAAAGTGCACGTGTGCGCGCTTGCACGCGGGGAGGTCAAGTTCAGCGATTCACCTGTTCGGATTCACCTTGGCTCGCCATTGTCCAGGCGTCGCCCCTTATATGGCTACTGCAAATTTGAATTCTCTGTTTTGTATCTGTTTCTCTTTCTGGCAGTCTACCGTCTGTCTCCCTCCCCTATCATACTAATATAGAGAATATCTTAATATTAAGTAATCAATTTCCAACCAAAATGATTGTCATATTAACTATTACGTGGATACAAAATATTCCAGACCTTTTTTTTCCCTTATGTAGTCTTCAATTTTGGTTGAAAAGTTAAAAACAGATTAGGCTTGCAATATTGACATCTTTTAAAAAACGTTCGACCTTGACAGAACGTTTATTTTTTCTTCTTTTCAATACTTCTAGCTTTCTAAATAATAAAGTCCTTCATTTAAAATCTTGAGGATCTAAATGAAATCTGGGTTGAAATGATAAGATCTATTCTTTCATTTATAACATGGCAGTAAAAGGATTTTTTTAAAAAGAAGAAAAAAGCAGGTTGCTGATCAGGACTGGGGAGGGGCTTTGGGGAGCCACCACCCATCAGGATCTGTTTCTCAGGGCTGGTTTTGAGAGGGGCTCCTGGACAATGCTTTGGGTCACCTTGCCTTGATATTCAGGGGTGGAGTAGAAACTGAGCAGGCCAGCCTCCCAGAGAGTTTGGACAGTTTTCTTCTGTTTGGCTGAGGCAGTGGCCATATTTG